GCGGGCCTAGGCGCACTTCTTGGACAGCTTGCACAACTCTACGTCTCGGGCTCGTATACGCTCATTTCAACTCAGAATTTGATTTTGCTTTTTCCTGTGTACTCCCAACAAAATGCTCTCTTTAACCAAGTTCACTCGGTCCATTTATCATGGAAAACATATCCTCTCGAGTAATATAACCTGCACACCAAAAATGACAAACAACCGAAAAACGGTTGAGAACATACCAGAAAACCAAAATAAAGCGAACAACGAAATAAACTATAAAATAAACTAAAACTCATCTAAACGACGTAAAATAGGGGAAAAAGGAAGACAAAAAGATAACGAAAAACGCAACAAAAATGGGACAAATAACTCCCCACACTAAAACCTTTGTTCGTCCCGAACAAAAAGATAAGAAAAGACTCGAAAAAAGCAAACGAGCATGGATAATAGTTTCAGATAAGACAAGCCACAAATTAATTAACTCAACCAAGGAAACTTCCAATGACCAATCATGCATACCTCAATTACACTTGAATTCAACATTTTGAAAAGACAAACTCTCGAGCATGGAAGTAAAATATATATATGCCTCACTCGGTTTCTTTCATGAATATAAAACTGGGACGCTCAAATTGGTCGATCATCATGCATCAACATAAGCTTACTTATCATCTATTCATACTCTAAAACAACCAAAGATCATGAACTGTAAATCAAAAGGACTTTCAATGTTGCATTGTAGGCATCAAAGGGAGGACAAATATTGGGATAGAGTAGCTCAAATAAACGATCAAACCCTCGAGCACATAAATAACTCGAACACCTCACCACTTATCCAACATCAACATGATACTAACCATTCCCATCAAGACTCAATACAACACTCGCATATGCTCAAACTGAATTGCACTTCAATTGCTCGACTCTTTTTTTTTATTATTATATATATTTTATTTTATGGAAACTGCTTTTTCCTAACAAGACTGAAACGTAAGGACGACATTCTCTAGGTTTAAACATTGGAGGTCATCCATGTTTCCTAGAGTGGTTTCCCAATACTCATTACTCGTGAAAATCCCACAACTAAGCGGAGTAGAATCCTTTTAATCCGTCTTGCGAATTCCTTTTTTTTTGTCAAACACCCAAAAATACAACTCAAACAAGTTATACACCTTCTCCAACACATATCAGAAGCTCCGTCAACATGACAAATACACTGTCAAATCCCCAGAAATTCAATCAATTCGGTTGACAAGAAATACAGTTTAAGGCTCAACGGGCTACTAATGAAAATATAATCTCAAGGGTCAATGAAAAAGGTTAAACGAGCAATGTCAAAGAAATGCCTCAATCATTTTCACAATTCATTACTTCAATCACTTCATTTCAAAAGACTAAAAACAAGTTCTAATCAACAATGAATCCGACCAATATCTCTCAAACAAAACAATATAAGGCTCAAACCTCACAAGGCAAATAAATGTCCAACAAAACGAAACATCAAGTTCATCAAGGCATACTGGTCATGATCATCATCACATCTCCTCAACATCATCAACAATCATCAACAAATCTTAAAATTATCCATGATCCATACTCGAAAAACATACAGACTGACTCAAGAAAATGAAAATAAAAACACCCTAAAAGACCTAGACCTAGTGAACCATATAAGCACATAATTATGCAAAAACTCCCCCACACTTAAAACTGAACAATGTCCCCATTGTCGATCCTCGGTGCAAGAAAAGTTACTCATATAATCAACCAACATAAAAGAAAAATAAAGACACTAAACTAAATACAAAAATAAAGAGAAAGAAAAAGATACAAACGGACAGGGCACAGTGACTAGACGAGTCACTGTGAATTTGGTGGTGCTGGTGGAGGGTGGAGGTAGTCAGGCCCCGAACAGTGGTGGGCCTTCATTAGCTCAAATCTCTCGCCCCATTGGGATCGGGGCAGCTCCTTCATACTCGGTTGGGAAGGGGTAGGGTGGCAGTCTGTATGGCATCCTTTCTCAATATAAGTACGGTCTTGCAATGACATCTTAGCGTGCTCTCGCAAGCACGCTATAACACCCCGTTATTTTAATAGAAAAATACCGAATTTATTTTTTCAAAATCAGAGTTAAATTTTTGAAAATTAATTCAAAGGTTTATTTAACGGGCGCTAATCAACAAATTCACATATCAACAATTAAGTCCACACTTAACCCATCGGGGAATAAACCATCCCGAATAGTTCATCTCATGCCAACATTCAACAAATACTCATTTACAAGACATAATACAAGTTATAATCAAATTCCAAAATGATCAACCAAGTTCAAATCCCCAAACATGCATAATAATTTTCAAAACCCATCATGGTTCAATCTCCTAAAGAACAATATTAATCATGCTGACAAGAAATAGATACTAAATAGAAGCGGAAGCAGGTAAAACAGTTCAATAGCACATAATGACCCTGCCTCGCTCGTCTTATTGCCACGACCACCAGCTCAACCTAAAAAGAGAGATAATAGTGGGGGTGAGCGAACACTTGCTCACCGTGGGAATACTATGCAGTATAATCAATATAAAGACTTAAAATCATAATCGCAGCATGAACACAAATCGACTAGTCTACCCCCTAACATGGCCCTACGCTCATGTGATCACATCTAACCCGTCAATACAACAAAGACCAGATTACCTGTCAATACAACAAAGACAGGAGCAACTGTCGATACAACAAAGACAAGAGCAAACTGTCGATACACCATCACGGAGTCAGCTCTCCAAAGGCTAGAGTTAGGCCTCATAGACTATCGGTTCACATGCATACATTGATTATCAAGCCAAGAATTTATAGAAATTAACATACATGGTAAGGTTTATCAACACCCACCTGGTCGAAAGCAAGAGATACACAAAACACGTGTAGGCAGCGAGCTCGGCTCGTCAAATACCTATACATATTAAACTAGTCCTATAAATAACTATTCCATCCATGAACAACTAATCATGAAAATCATTGAGTCCAACTAAATTCACATAAGCATTTAAGCAGGCATCTAATCAAGGATAATCCCATTTCTGAAATTACTACATAAGTGTTACAAAACTAAACCCGGGCAACATTTTTAAAATCAACATAACTTTTAGCACATAATTCATATGAACGTGATTAAAATCTCGAATTAAACCTAAGGCATGCACGTACAACTTTCATTTAGATCATAAAAGCAGATAAGGTCATTTAGATAGTGAAAAAGCAGTTAACATTCTATATTCAGTTTTTGCCAACGTACGAAACCTCATCTCGTGCATGTCTACATTCATATGAGCATAACTCGAGCTATAGATATCATCTCAGCATAAATTTTATCTCGTTAGAAAGATAATCAACAGACCTATAACTTTTATGAAGACTACAAATTCACTTGATCACATTATGACACTATAAACAGGCTAAACATTAAATACATTCATGCTGCCGGGTAACAGAAAAACTGCTTGTACGATAATTTTGTAAAAACCATAACTCATTCGATACTAATCGGAATATCGAAAATCCAAAGCCCAGATAAAGTCAATAGAAAATACTAAGTTTCATCAGAAGGCATCAACCTTCCCAGGTATTGGGAAATATGACAAAAACAGTAAAACAGAGGGAATAATGAAAACCAAAAACTGAACGCGCACTCGTCGTATATCTGCTATAATTTTCAGCACAAAAATGATAATCACGCGATTCCTGCTCGATATGAAACCTAAGGAGCTGAACTACATTACATCAAAAGAAATCGAACACATGCAATCGAGATTCAGGGGTCAAAAATGGCCTCGAACAGAAGTCAGCCACGGTTTTATAAATCGGGTTTTCAAATTCATTTTAAACAATTATAATCGACTCAACAATAACTCAACACAATTACGAGAGTTTCCGATTTACAACAACACGATAAAATCATAGCAATTCCAATTATACTAAATTTAACGAAGTCACGAACATAATCCGATAAACGAAACGACATATAAAAGCCGACGGATAACTCGAAAGAAAACCGACTTCAAACACGAATTCGGTAGCACATATGATATACATATCTATCATGCGATATATGAGAACGACCGGAATAACGAGAGGGTTCGAATAAGTTACTCGTCTTCTGGAATCTACAAGCTATCAAACAAGAAACAGGTCCGACATCGGGAAATAAAACCGAAAACGAAAACTCGGAACATCGCAAGCTTCGATGGACGGCGATACGAAAGGAAACAACGATCAGTGGGGACCAATGGCACGCTGCAACAGAGAACATGCCGATGGAGATGACGATCGTCAACAGCGAATGGGCAGCTAGAAGGTGCTCTCGCCAGGAAATATGGAGGAGCAGCGATGGCTTCGTGGGTGTCTCTCCTTGCTCGCGGGCCTGCGTGTGTTCCGGGGTGCTGCTCTAGGGTGGTCGAGATAGCGAGGCACTGATAGCTAGGGGTGGTGATCACGAGATGCAGCGGTTGAGATGCTGGAAAAATAAAAACAGGGACGCCGGTGGTGGTTTACGTGCTCAGAATTATGAGAGAAGGACAAACTTCTCTTCACTCACTTGTAGGTGAAATATAGCGACAGATTGTGAGAGAGAGATGGATGAGATTTCTGGATTTTTAGTAACGTGGAGATGATGATGATTCTTGTTCTTGCAGCGTGAGGAGAAATTGTGAAAAGTCGGATGAATATAATGAGAGAGGAAATTCTGATATTTGTGAAGTGAGGGAAACGAATGAAAAATATATATCCCCACTCCTAATGTGAGAAATTAAGGTCCATAAATTGGTAACCAAATTTATTACAAATTATTAAGGCTCATTAGGGGCATTTGACCGAGTTTAAGGGGTGGATGATTAGCTACAATACTTACCATAAGCCTTAGAGATTTAAAATTTGAACTAACCAAAATATCTATCCAACCATGGCTAAGGGGCTGTTATAGGGAGGCGCGGACCGAGTTCTCTTCTCGGTTCAACACTTAAGATAATATACCGGACTCAGTTGGATCACACGGTTTTGAAAATAAACGAATAAAATATATTTATAATACACACCATATACATTTAATAATAATGATCATTTAAACAATAATGGTAATTAGACATTTAATAAAATAATAATAATAATAATAATAATAATAATAACAATAATAATAATAATACAATGATAAATAACTCATAAATAATCCAGAACAAATAGGGCACTACACAAGCCTCCTCAGTGAGCTGCTCAATCGCCCTAAGGTATGCGCACTCTTCTACCAATTTCGCCTGCGGCTCAGGCCGAGTCTCTGAACAGAAACTGCAATGAACTCGCTCAATACTATCATGTTTGTCGTCCCCTTCCTCACATCGATGATCGTGCTAGTGGTCGTCATGAAGGGTCATCCGAGGAGGATTGCATGCTCCTTAGCATTTTCTTGCACGTTCCCCACATCGAGCACAACAAAATCCACGGGGACTATCAACTTCCCCACTCGTCGGACGAGCATATCCTCAACAAGCCCTACGGGGTGACGTAATAAATTGTCTGCAAGCTGTAAGCGCATCTTGGTGGGCTTCAATTATCCAAGCCCGAGCCTCTGATAAACTGCAAGAGGCATGAGGTTTATGCCTGCTCCCAAATCGAGCATCCCCGAGGCCTCTTCCCCATTCCCGAAGGCCATAGTGATCACGAAGCCTCCGGGATCCTTCTCTTTCTTCGGCAAGTCATGCTGGAAGACACTCGTTGCCTCATAGATGATCACTTTCTCACCATTCCCAAACCTCTTCTTGTTCGTGGCCACTTTCTTGAAGAATCGTGCATGGGCCGAAACTTTCTTCAACACTTTTAGAGAGGAGATAAGTCATCGTTGGTCTTAACCAACATTGCATGAAGATCTCGAATCATTCGGCGGTCCTTCGCTTCCAAAAGTCGGCTCGGAAAAGAGATTTTCGGTTTGTAAGGATTTGAGGATCTATGCAATGCCGGCTCAGTAGTCGGTATCTCTGGAGCCTCTTCTTTTTTCTTTTGCTTCCTCGGGCCCTCATTACTGGGCATGATCACTGTCACTGATTTTGCGCGCTCCGGCTGACTCGACCAGCTTTTCCTTACTCAATTCGGTCTCAATGCTCCCAACTCGCGTAGCCAACTGACCAACTTGCGTCTCGAGACGCTTAATGGACGCATCATGATTGGTGATAAAATTCAGAATCTTGTCTAGCTTGTCGTCCATGCTCGGTGGGGTTGGTCCAGTTTCTGGTGCTGACAGCCTCAACATTCCCCTAGGTTGCTGCTGCTGGAGGAAAAATTAGTTTGAGGTGGCTGCTGATAGTGGTTATTGGCCCACGAGAAGTGAGAGTGGTTTCGCCACCCCAGGTTGTAAGTGTTCGAGTAGGGGTCATTCCCGGGTCAGTTCTGATACCCCTGCAATGCATTCACCTCGGTATTCTGGCCGTAGCTCAGCTCGATAGCCGATGGGCACACCTCAGAACTGTGCCCCTGAACTCCGCAAGCGCCGCAAACGCTCACGGCCATAGTCTGAACTGGCTGCATTCCTCGAGCATTCAGTAGCTGCATCTGCTCCGTGAGCTCGGCTATTAGATGAGCCATCATGTGCTGTCTAGGTGACCGCGCGTCGCAACGCGGCAAAATTAATATTTATATTTTTCCTCGACAA